TACAACTATTTCTTGAGTTTTACAGTGATATACATGTTTACTGCACTTGTCATTGTCTTGGTTGTCTTTCTTGATGCTCTAAATATGTGCTTATTTTCTTGTCATAGTGTATATGTCTTCAAATAAATTGAAAAGTAATATCGAATTTTCGTTCCTAATTAAGTAATGTTTTCTCACGGTTACCATAATGCATATTGCTCATATTGCATAGGTCTGAGGCCTCTCCCGACGTTATGCAATAAGATATTTTCAACTGTAATTCGCGTGACTTCCTGGCCTGGCCGCCTGGGAATCAATAAGATCATGTGATCCATGAAACGTCTAGTGTGGCAGTGTACTAAACACCCTGTTTGTCCGTGCATGCTGGTCGGGAACTATGTCAACATTCAACGAGAATCTCAGACACACACACTAGTATGTTTGATACCACACTGCCTTACTCTTCAAGGTCACTCAGGCTCTAGACTGTGCTGCTCTCATCTTGTGCCCACGTTATGCACTTGCAAACTCTTGACACACATTTCCTCCGCCAAACCTGAGACTCCTTTCAACTCCACCAAATCTCAGTATCAGTGGTATACAAAGCTTATGTCACCCCACAGTGTTTGCAAGGAACCTTCATCCAGAGAAGAAGTCTCAAGAACGGGCACAAACTCCACTCCTGCTAAGAAAGCAGTAATTGGTAAGGACCTAAGTGCAGAGAAGCCACGTAGCGTTGCTCAATAGCAAAAGAAGAGCTAATCAATCATTAAGAACTTGCTTGTGAAAATATGGCCTCGGGAGACTGGAATGTACAGGGTAGGGTGTTACTTGGCTTTGGATTGCTGATTGTTGGTAAGGCACGTTGTCTAACGCCCATTATTGCTTCTCTTGGATAGGATAATCTGAGCTAACATTTACAATTCCAAGTGTTGAATATATAACTGTCCGTCCTGTTCAAGAATGTCATCAGTGCTCTTAATATCAAAGCCATGCAACACACTATGTTATCGACGGACGTCCTTCTCTCTAATATATTATAGAAAGTGCTGCATGATAGGAGTAACTCTCTTCACCGGGCCCTCTAGTACCGTTTTATTTCCAGTGCCGGGCAGCAAGCCGTCCGCAGAGTTGCTCGAGGAACCTTCGAACACCTTTAGAGCTTGGATCTTAAGTTCCACCTAACAAGGCAAGCTAATACCTCCCGATAGCTATTGACTGTGGAACGAAGTAATCTCATCTGATGTGTTGAAGTACACTTATTTTTGCAGGAGACTGATATAACTCAGTGCCAACTTATTCATTTTACAATATATGCTCTTCCGTGTAGTGCCGGCTGCACTTGACATATCAATGGTCTGTGGAGTATTGTCCTGTTACAACTCTTTATCAATGCACATTTGACTAACTCAAATTGATCTTCAAACTCGCCCTATAAGCCTGAGTGGGATTGTGCTGCAGTTTGACTGGAACTGCATACACTCAGTTTACTGTCAATACAGTTTCATTGAAGTCTAGTTGCCCATGAAATGTATTCAGTAAATCTCAACTCTTATAAGGACAAATTCTCGTCTACTATCCATGCATGAATGACAACTGAGTTAGGACATGCATTTAAATTTACCGAGTGACGATTCTATTAGCATCTACGTTGCCAATACATATACTACTATTCTCATGATTCTAGATTGGCTGAAGTACATTTCTCACAGGTTAAGTTTGCAATACGATTGTATCTGCAAATAGAAGTGCAGAGTTAGTAGCTCATTGAAGCAGAAAGGGGGACCAAAAATGGTGACAGGTTGACTGTACATAGTAGGGTTCCGCGCGTATAATACGACTTACATACACATACGTGTGTATAAATATGCGCGTATACGGACACACCAAGACCTCTATATGATACGGATACCCTGTATACAGTGTATACAGCATATACAAAGAATAGTGTATTAAATAGACAAAATATAATATTTTTCTTCAAAACGTAATAATAAATGACTCTGCATTGTCCCCTCAGCATCCAAGTACACTCACACCCATCAATACATTATTAAATACTAACAGTAGCCTTCAATACTTGCTTGACAAAAATCACGTGACTCTTAACCATGACCCTAGGACACATGGGGCATTTCACAATTTCTTGCCTTAAGAAATAACTTAC